CCTCCTGAGCAGCCGGAGATGCTCCCACCCGGCTCTGCGGATGTAGCACAGGGCTGGAGCCCGCGGGCTTTTCCAATAGTGGTGCTCCATTAGAGCCCAGCTCTGCTCTTTCCACGGGCAATGGCAAAACAAAAGTCCCATTGATTTTGTGGGGGCAAGAGCAAACCCCTAATGGCCTGGGAAGGTAAGGTGCTTTTTCTGGCTTGGGTTTTGTTTTTTGGTTTTGGGGGGTTTTTTGGTGACATTTGAAACCACGGCCACTTCATATTGCCTGTCCAAAAGCTGGGAGAGACTTCAGGCCCTTCTGCAAAGGCAAAGGAGGGCTGCTAAAGCTCCAAGCGAGCTGAGGAGGCATTTTGCCCTGCAGAAGTCACAAGCCTGCGTGCAGCTGCTGGGGCAGTGCTGTGTGCCCTGCTCTGCTCCTGGGCAAAAGCTGGATGAAATCGAGCTGCTTGGAAAGGGATGCATTTGTTCAGCAGCACAGAGGTTTTCAACGTCGTTTCCTGATAACAAAAATTCAAATCCATTTTTTCCCCATTTTGAGATTATTGTTTCATTTCTCAAAAATATTTTTAGTCACAGTGTGTATCAAAATATTTTGCTGAGCAAGTTTGGGGTGAGTTGAAAGGTGCTAATGACAGTTTCTTTTCAAAAGGGTTGTCCAAAAGTGTCACCAAAAATAAAACATGAAACAAGTTTCTCAAGTGTCATTTAAAACAAGAACAACATTAATCTGAAAGCTGGGAAGAGTGACAGCAATGTAGTTAGTTGTCATGGGGTAGAGGATCTGAACCAGTGCCTGGATCTTATTCATAGGGAAAAAGTCCTTCCTCTCCCCATTATCTTTCCAGTGTTTGAATAGCTTTCAATAACGAGCCAAGAAAAATGTTCAGAAGACAGACAGGAAAAAAATATAGGTTGTGGGCAGATAAACAAAGAGGCAGTGTCTTCCTCCTGAAAAGCAAGCCGACAACCCCTCGGGACTGGGGGCAGGTCTTGGGGAAGCAGCCCCTCCATCAGATCCTGGAGGAAGGAGGGAGGGAGCCCAGGGATGTTGTGTCCTGATGTGCAACAGGGGTGTCTTCTCTGGAGATCGCAGGACAGGAAGGTGTCACCTACCTGAAAGATGATGTTCCATATATCATATGCAAAAGCCTGAATACCAGGTGTGTTTACAGTTGTGAATGGTTTGGAGAGCTGGTTTGAAGACTCCTTAAAAATGTCCAGTCTTCTTTATAGCAAATATCTTTCCAAGGTGGATTCTTCTGGTGGCCTTTCACGGGCTGCATAAGAGAGTTCCCAGCCTAGAGCTGGAGAGGCACTTGTTGAGATGGATGCTGCTGTCACCTGTCATTTGTGTGTGTGTCATTGGGTGTTTATAGGATGAAGTTGTGATATAGGATGGGTTATACCCGCAGTGTGGCATATGCATGTAGGTACGTGCAGCGTGTACTTGGGCGTGAATACTCTGTGATTCGTGTAGGTACAGAAGTACCCGTGCAGGAGGATGTACATACTGCTGTGTATCAGCAAAGCCTGTGGGCATGCATGAAGCTTGCAGAGGCAGAAGAGCACTTTTTACTGGGAGGAGTGACCCCACTATGCCGTCAGATGGACTATGTGTGCCATTTTGCAACATAAGCACAGCTGCAGAAGGAGCACCTGAAGGTCTGACACTTACCCATCACCTCTGTTCTCCTGCACTCTGGCTGTTCCCCTTTGTCTGCCCCTTCATCCCGCTTTTTGATTTGTCCCCTGCCTCTCCCTTGGGTCCTGCTCATCTTTCTTGACTCACTAACAGCGTGATGGCATTGCCAGCTTTCTTCCAATTTTACTGTGAATGGCAGGGGTTTAGCTGGGTTTTCTTCAATGCCTTGGTCTCTGCTCCATAGTGGTGCCAAATGTGCCTGAAAAGGGCCAGCAGGTTCAAACATATACACGGAGCTGAGATACCAGTGTGGCCACATGATGCTTGTTCCCTTAGCCTTAATGCAACCTTCTCCCATGTTTTCCCCAAGAATCCCACCATCTGAAGTGAGGGGTGGCAGTGCTGGCCTGTGTGCCACCTCCACCCCCCCACCTGTGTGTGTCCATGGCCCTGGTGCACCTCAGCTGCCCCATCCTTGCCTGGGCTCCCTGGGTGCAGGGTCCTTCAAGGTGAGCCTCCCAAGAGCTAACAGGCTGTGGGAACTTCATCCCCACCAAGCGCTGCCATCTGCCTCTGAAGGATGCTGCACCTCAGCAAGGGGGTGCTCAGCCATGCGGGTCCCCCCTCTCCTGGGGGTCATCTCCCCTGTCTGTGTCCTGGATGCCCGTGTCCTTGCACAGAGTTCTTTCTCAGTCCATTAGTTTGTTTCCACTGCCGTGGCCAGTGGCAGGCACTCGGCTTTGAAAGCTATATTAAAAGCCGGGTCAATACCAGCCCCTGCTTATTCCCTCTGGGGAAAATAAATAAATAATGAAAGAAGGGAGGTAGGGAGGAAAGGACTTCGTTAATTAACAGTGGGGAGGAGAGGTGGGACAGGGACCCACGTGGAAAAATGAGGCTGCATATCAAGTTATACATGGGAAAAGCCAGGAGGCACCAGGTTCCATGAGCTCCTGTCCCCACTCTGTGCCCAACAGGAGGAGAGTGAGGCATCAGGAGTGATCCCTTTCCTTTCTCCCTGCCCAGTCCTGATGCTCTACTCTTCAGTTGTCAACTGTCCGTGCTTCTCTCCCCCGGCCAGCTTCTCTTCCCCTCTTGGCAAGGTTGCCAAAGGCATCAGATCACTGCCTGGGTGCAAAGCAAACCCATGCAGGGCAGTTGTGTCCCCACAGAACCTGTGCGCCAGGACAAGAAAGGGCCACGTCTGGGTCTAGATCCATCTTGCTAGTCTATCCCTGCTCCTTCTCAAATGTGTTCCCATATTACCTCACTTTCTCTTATTCTTTTTCCCTTCCTCCTCCTCCGCCTGCCTGCTGTGCCTGCTTCTTCCTCTCCTGCTATTTCCTTCCTTCCCCTTCTGCTTCCCCCCCCTTTCTCTTGTTTCTTGAACCAATTCCAAATTGACATTGAGGTGCTGTTTTTCTGCTTTGAAGATCAGGGGTTGAATGGGACATAATTTCTTCAGCCATTCCCCTCACAGAACAACTGTTGGGTGCTCAGAGCAGTTTCCTGAACTACCTGTTTGTCCTTCTGTCCTGATACTCCTTCTGAAGGAGTATTTCTGCTGCTCTAAAAGGAAACGGCTGACCAGGTTTTCACATCTTCTGTGAAATGACAGCAAAGTGATGTTACAGGTCTAATTCTTGTTGATGCCCTTCCTCATTTCCCCCAGTTCTTATTACCTCTCACAAAAAAAAAAAAAAAAAAGAGTCTTTGGGGTTTTTTATATTTTTTTGAGCCTTACACCTAGAGTGGTGTCTTGCATGTCTCTGCCTCTTCATCAAGCATATCTATAACCCTTCCCTGGCCAAAACTCTTGTTATGTCCAAAGCAAGCAGGATTGTTTGACCCATCCTATTGGTAATTTTAATGCAAATGCTTCCCTCCCTCCGTACATTCTGTATGATCTTCTCCCTGAGGAAATTCTCTGAGCCTTTTATTGTAGGTCTTTACCAGAGAGGCTCAGAGTTCGGGAGCCCTCATGGTGGGGCTTCCAGGCACCAGTGCCCTACGAACAGCAAACACCACCCTAATAACTCTCATCAGTCTCTATACCAGACTGCAGCCTTGGGATCTCTCCTTTACTTCCAAACCTCCCTCTGGGATATTAAACTTTATTAAAAATAAATAGTTACAAATTCAGTTTTACAGCTGATGGCAGCAGGGAGAAGAACGGAGGAGGTGACAGGAGTAAGTTGGGGGTCTGCTGTCTGGTCAGGTCACTTGTCTGTCATCCCGGCTGGGCTGTGGCAGGGAACAGTCTGAGTGTGCAAGCACAGGGCCCTGCCTCCTCTGCCAGGCATCTCAGGAGAGGAGCAGGACATGTTTTTCAAAAGGACTGGGAGAACTGGAGTCTGAGTCCGTGGAGCCGAGCTGCTTCTGGAGGTGCCAGATGCCAAAAGCCAAGGAGAGTGCAGAGTAGGCTACGTAGAGTGTCCTGGTCTCCTGGCTTCGTATTTGCAGTGGAAGAATATGGATTTCAGTTCTCGTTCTGTTTTACATACAAAGAAAGAGTCATGTGCAACAAGCAATAAACATGCAAGTAAACCCCTCCCTTGAGATCCTCCCCCACTCCCTCCAGGAGTCCTAAACTCTCCTATCCATCCTCATCTGGTCAGTGCTTAGGTATTGCTCCTCTCCTAGTGATGGTCATGACTCTTGACAGCCATGAGGCCTACCCACATCAAGAGGGAACAGAAAGTCTGCCGTTGCCTCAGCATCAGAAACACTTGCTGCAGGTCCCAGTCTGTCTGTTGAGGGCACGGACTCCTGTTGCCTCTACAGAGATGAGAAACCAGGTGTGTTGCTCTCCTGTCTCTGGGCAGGAAAGGGATCCTGGCACAAGCTGTGCACACTGGAAGAGTAGCTTATCCTCACACCTCTTCCAGGCGGTATGACTTCATGGGAAAGGGAATATATCAGAGCAGCTCCAGGCCTTGATGTATTCAGGGGCTGAGAGGAAGTCATGGGAGGCATTTTTTGGTGGGCAAGGGACTTATCCAGCTACATACAGGTGCAGAATGGAGGAGGAGACGGTGAGCAATGGATGTGGAGTGGGGAGGCTGGAGGAGTTAGATGGCTGACTCCCTGCGGTATGAGATTGTATCTAGAGGCAGAGTTGCCTGCAGCCGTTCCAAGTCCAGGTGGCTTCCAAAATCCATCATCTGGATGACACCTCCCTCTTCCTTGGTGTTGCCCCCTAACACCACACCCACTTCATCATCATCTTCATCTTCGTCTTGACAGACAAGAGCCAGCTCATTCTCATAGCAGAAGGCACTGGGAGGTGGGGGAGAAGGTACGACAGTCATCTTGCTTTCTTGCAGCTCCCGGGCTGAGCAGCAAGGCGTGCCAGCTACCTCATAGGTCTTGTGAAAGCGTGAATAATCCACTTTGTAGTGATTCTTCTCCTCAAACACAACTGGTTCAAAACGGTGACCCCAAAGGATTTCACTAGCCAGGTAAGAGCTTCGTGCCTGTGTGGTCATGGCTGTAGCTTCCACCATCCCCTCCAAGATAACAACTATCTCAAAGTTCTCCGTCTCCAGCTCCTCCTTGCCAATCCCATAGAGTGGGCTCTCCTCATCAATCTCATGAACAATAATAATGGGAGAGACCAAAAATATACGATCGAGGCCCACATCATAGCCCACATTGAGGTCCTGCTGGTCCAGGGGAAGGTATTCCCCTTCCTCTGTCATGTAGGGTTTGATGAGCTGGGCTCGGACGTGGGCCTCCACAATGTGGCTCCTCCTCAGGTTGCCCACCCGCCACATGAGGCACAGTTTGCCATCCCGCACGGAGATGACCGCATGATGACTGAAGAGGAGGGTCTGGGCCCGCTTCTTGGGCCTTGCCATCTTGGCCATGATGGTACCAATCATGAAGGAGTCAATAACGCAGCCCACAATGGACTGGACCACAACTGCCATGATAGCCAGCGGGCACTCATCAGTCACGCAGCGGAAGCCGTACCCAATGGTTGTCTGTGTCTCCACTGAGAAAAGAAAAGCCCCCACAAAGCTGTTCACGTGCATGATGCAGGGCTTGAGGTGAGGGGGACCACCTCCCACCACCGGTGCATTGAGATCACCATGGAATAAAGCGATGCACCAGAAGAGGAAGCCGAAGAAGAGCCAGGACATCAGGAAGGCGGCAGAGAAGATCATAAGCATGTACCGCCAGCGTATGTCCACACAGGTAGTGAAGATGTCAGCCATGTAGCGCTGAGACTTGTTGCTTAGGTTGGCAAAATAGACGTTGCACTGGCCATTCTTCTTCACAAAGCGGTTGCGGTGCTTCCGCCGGGGGGCATGTCCCTTCCCGTTCCGGCTGTGCCCGTTCATGCTGCCCAGTGTGGAGACCTTTTGTCCATCCTCTTCAGTCGAGACGATGCTGTACCTGGAAGAGAAGAAACAGGCATTTCCAGCAGAAATAGCGAAGAACAACAGCAGCCACTGAGAAAGAGAGGGCAGGAGACACATGGGTGGCCCACAGGGCTATGATACTGCGGTGCTGAATATCACAACAGCACATTTCTCTGGTTATTGCACGGTAGTGCCACCTTGACCAAACTGGTGGAGCTTGGCTGCAATTGTTGGGTCTTGTTGCCAAAAAAATTATACCTAGTCCTGACAGGGCAGCAAAGGAGAAGAAGTTTGCAGTGCTGTGCTTCCTTCCAGCCTTTATGGTGAGGAGGGACCCAAAGCTTTGAAACCTGGTGGCAGCTGGGACAGCCGGGAAGCCTGGGAGCAAGCACCCACGGTCTGGCCACATCTTGGCCCTGACATTATATAAGGTCATGAGTTTCTATTTTCTCCTCCACTCTCCTCACTGATTTCATGGTATGTTGGTGACAACGTTTATACACTTCCTGCACTGAGGACAATTCTGTTGCCACAGCAACGTGCGTGGCTCCCAGTATCCCACATCTGAAGCCAAAGGTGTAATTTGGAGATCAACAGCCAAAGTACTGGCAGATTTCCCTGGAAGAAGCTCCCCACACACTTTCTAGGAGAAATTTACCCCTCCAGCTCCCCTCCCTTGCAGGCAGCACTGCCACTGCCCCTTGTGTGCTGTTCTGTCTACAGTTACAGATACTCCTTAAAGACATGATGGCAGAAGATGCTCTGACCACTGAGGAAATCCAGGGAGTGCATAGACCCACCAAGACCACTGTGCCCTCATGACTGCTCAGCCCTGGCTTCCCAGAACCTGTCAGGCTCACAGTGCCTCCCTCCCACCCCATGGTGTTGACATGTCAGCTGGAGCCCTCCAGCACGGGCTCCATGACCCTTGCCTTCCTCTTGTGGGAAGAGGGAGCAGGGGAAGGACACGTGGCTGGAGTTGTGACCCCTGAGGACTCCTGGGGTCAGGGAGCTTCTGCAGCACTGCTGAAATCTGTAATTTCTGTTTGAGCACCACACAGCGCTTTGCTTCTCCTCTGTAGCACTCCTCCTCTGAGCACTGTCCCCATGGCTTGGATTGGAGAAGGAGAGAGGAGCCATACCTTCGAGCAGGAAAGCCTCGGGCAGATAATTTGAGAAGAATAGAACAAAAAGCAGGCTGAAGGTAGGGCCTGAGGGGCCAGATGAGGAGGACCAGGCCACCCTGAGGAGCAGCAGTCCTTGAGAAGGGGGTTACTCACCGGTTGACTCGGACGCTGCCCATGGCTCGCTGTATCATCAGGTGTCAGGGGGCTGCGGGAGCTGGGAGGACGCAGGATCTCATGCAGCGGCACTCACATGGGACCGGGCGGCTCCAAGTTTCACCTCCAACGAACTGGGACCCATGCTACCATTTGTGATTGCTCCTGGGCACGCGCCTTGCAGAGAAGGGCGAAGCAAAACCCAGTCAGAGCCTCCCTTGACAGCACCCGTCCCAGTCCCAGAGCAGGGGTTGCGGGGTGTCGCAGGGCTCCCAGCCTTTTCCTCAGGAGGGGTCTGGAAGTGTCCACCGGTCACCCCACCACAGTCTGGCTCGGGCAGGTGAGGAGCTGATGGATGCAGACCGGGTCGCACGGCCTGCAGCCCCCACGCTCCTCGGCATCTACCTCGGCTGGGAGAGGTGCAGGGCCAGCCGGTCACCGCTCTCCAGATCAAGGGCACAAGGACTGAGCAGCTTGCAGGGCCCTTGCCCTGAGCCATTTTATTAATATCATAGCTTACAGGAGGACGAGAGCTCAGCCAGGCTAAATACCTTGCACACAAGGACTAACGAAGCACAGACATACACAGCAGCCCTCAGGGATCCCTGTCAGCCCAGCCTGACCCAGAGGGGATCTATTTCCAGGGGATGCAGAACATCTTCAGAACATGTTTCAAAGAGGAGAAGAAAAGCAATGGGTAGAGCCAAAAAGGAGAACTGATGGAAAGGAAGAGCTTAGGGGTAGCCGAGGAGAAGCCAGTTAGAGCAAACAGACCTTGAGACGTGCCCTGCGTACAGCATCCAAGGAGCAGCTCAGCAGCAGAACCCTGGGGAGGATGTCCAGGAGATGTTGTGTCCTGACCTTGTCCTCCCCAAACTGAAGAACGGTGAAACCGAAGACTCAAGCGCTGACCTATCCCGCCTGCCCAGAGCTGCTGGGAAGTGAAATGCAGTGAGGGGGTAATGACTCACAGATTAGGAAGGGCTTTGTACACCCGTGCTAATCCTGCACTGTAACCTTTGGATTACAGCAGCCAGTGTGGAGCACAGGACACAGACGCAGCCAGCTAGTTTACTTTCTCCCAAGCTCACTGATGAGCAACCAGTGGTTGCCATATCTGTGACAAATCCAAGGATTTCTGGGTCAAATCCAAGGTTTAGAGCTGCTTGCAAGTGGTCATGCACGGACAGGAAAGAGGAACAGCAAGTGATGTTGTCAGGGTCAGAAATGCTGGTGAGAACCATCATTGTCTCATCATCAGTGTTACAGAATGGGGCTTCATGTGGCTAAGGGTGACCACCAGCTTACCCCAGTTAGGAACACAGACTAGAGAGCGGCAAGTAAGGATCTCCACACATCACCTCTGATGTGCAAGCGCTGCCATTGTCATGTCTGGGATGAAGATTAACCAGCAATCTCTCCTCCAGAGACCAAGGTTACTGAGGTGGTTTAAGCCCTGTGGCAACACAAACATGGTTGTTCAGATGAGTGGTATTATGGGACCAGGAGAAGACAGCAAGCTTGTAGTCCACAACTCACCAGAGAGAGGGAAAAGTGAACAGCTGCCCAGAAATTCCCGTGGGGAAAAAGCCCTTTGGCACTGAACTCTGCCAGCACCCACCCCCTCACCTCCCTGTGGCAGCCACCAACTCTTTAAGGAGGGTCGGTTTGGCCAGATATAGTTTTGTTGTGCAGCTGGGAGAGTCTACAGCAGAAACTAGGGTCAGTAACCTAAATTCAACAGAAATATTGAGGGATGACCAGGTGATGAAGAAAAGTAACTTCATGCCCACAGATGGTCCACTAGGATAAAGCTAAGATGTAGCTTCAGTGCAGGGTCCCACAAGTCTTTAGGAGGTGACAAAGGCAGGCAATTTAGATATACTCCTCCATGCTAGCTCCAGCTAGGAGAGAAAGGACATCCTATCCAACCGGCACTTTCCTTAGCCAGCTCGGATAAGCCAAGCTCATCCTTAGCCAGCACTGACACTGATACCTCAGGAAAGGCACTGCCATAGCTCACATATGGATACTTCACAACTTTCTAGACATTTCTGGCCATCACTACCACACCTTTCTCCAGCTGCAGGAATGGGTGAACAATTTCTAGAGACTTCGGATTTCTGGCCCAGCTGGTGGTCACCTCCAAAAGAAGAAGAAGGATGACCTAAGGAGCTTCTACCCACTGAAATCATGTGCAGCAACACCGGGATCTCTGCTCCTAACTTTCTCCACCTCACCAAGAAGGGGCAAAGGAAGGAGATGGAATGCAGGTACCACAAAGGCTGTCCTCAGCTTCGGCTCTGGCTGGTACAGCTAAGGGAAGGGATGGGCACACTGTGCAAGAGCACTGCATCCTGCGCTGCACCTCGTGCTGCTGCTGTGCTTCCTCCTGCTTCCCAAACGGGAGCTCAAGTCAGCTGGAGCTGTGGCACAGCCTCTTGCACAGACCCCACCATGGCTGGACCTTGCAGCTCAGAGCCTGGGAAATATTTGCTGCTGGCTCCGCAGTGCCAGGGGACACCATCAGCAGCTAAAACTACATCACTACCTGCAATTTGCACTTAATCACAAGAAAAGCATTTCCATGAAGAATAAAGGCTAACGATTTGAACACACACATTCCAGCATGTGAGAGCAAATGGTTTTAGTACAGGCTGTAGTGGGAGATTGGTGGTCTCTGTCCATGCGCTCATCCATAGAACCCCCACAGAATTTAGTTCAGAGCTCTTCTTCTGCTTCAACTTCGGAAATTTTGCCGGTAGATTTAAGGACGTCAGCAACAAAACGCAGTGACTCTGCTCCAGAGGTGAGCTGTTTGATGGACCAGTTTGCACCCGTTATGATCTGGTGGAGGTTCTGCAAGGCAAAGTCTATGTTTTGCTTCACAGCCCCCAGGTCAGTCGTTTGGCCTGCTCGTAGGTTTTCATTCTCCACCTGGGAGCTCTCCAGCTCTTCCTGGAGAATAAAGATTGCCAGCTTCAACTTCTCCACATTGCTTTCTGCCTCCAGAGCCCTCTGGGTCATTAACTGGAGACTCCACTCAGTCTGCTGGAGGAAGGACTGTTGTTCTTGGGTTTCCCTCTCCTCTTTTTCCAGGCTGGCCTTCAGCTGCCTCTCCAGACTCTGCACCCTCTGCACCTGGATCTCCAAGGAGCTCTTCAGGCTCCTGACCACCATCTTGAGCGTGGCATTCTCCTCCTTCAGCACGTCGCAGGTCAGCTGCAGGCATGGGAACTCCCTGTCCCCGATGGCCTGCTCCTGCTGCATGTGGGGCTCTCCTTCCCTGGTGCACTCTGAGTACCCCAGATAAGGGTCACTGGCATGGGCCCGTGGGGCAAGGTCATCCATGCCCAAGTGCTTGCCCGTGCTACACTGGAAAGAGTCATAGGAACCATACAGTGGCATTCTGGCAGTTTGGAGAACATGTGATCTCTGATGCACAGGAAGGCGAGAGGTCCAGCTGTAGTCCTCATCTTCGGACAAGCTGCCAGGCATTTCCATGTCTTTGTAAAATGGTTCCTGAAACTCCTGATCTTCCTTCTCAATCTCCAGTGCATGCTTGGCCAACTTATTGGCATGTATTCCGGTTTTCACTCCTTCTTCTTTCATCACATAAGAGTGTCTGGGATTTAGGGAAAATGAGATGGCTTCTCCCAGATCCTCCACCTGACTGTCACCCACACTGTCACAGCCCTTGGACTGGGGTGGAGGACATGTGGAGTGGCAGGGGCAGCTAAATTCGTCGTTGTTGGCATCATTGGCATCATCATCTTCCAAGACTTGAGATTCTGGGCCGACCCTCTCCATTGTCCCAAAGACGTCAAGCAGCCATGACATTTTTCAGGACACTTTGGGCTGTAGCAAGTAGGAGGATCGATGTTATCTTCCTGGAGCCTGGGTCACACAGGCAGGTGACACTGACGAGCAGTGTGCCAACTTCTGCAGCCTCAGCGATGCTCGTGGGGGAAGAGGCAGTCACTGAAATCCCTCCATTTACATCACAGCGTTGGTCAGGATGGAGCAGAGAGGAGGGCCAAGAATCTCTGTGTCTTTGCTATGGGGAGAACAGGAATCATGAAGGTCTGTGATGTCATCGAGTGACTTCACTGCCTGCTGTGATGTCATGACCAGGGGCAGAGGAACCAATCAACTGCAAAAGTGCTTTTTTGACAGCAGGAAGATAAGCTGGATCCTTGTGGCTGCAGCGCTGACCCCAGCTTGGGGGTCAGATACTCAGTGGGCAGTGAGTATCTCATGAAGCCACTTGAGACCTCCAACATGCAGTGGGGACAGGGACCAGCCAGCCTTGGGCAGGCAGTGTGGGGCAGAGGGGACAACCCTGCTGGACAGGTTACCAAGACATCTCCAGCAGCAGCAATATCAAGCTGCTGGTGTTTTACTGCCAGAGCTCATCCTGGGCAGAGACAGGAGCCATCACCAGTGCTTTGGCCAGAGGCATCACCCCAAGCTGGCCGGCGAGGGGTTCGCGCCATGGTGCTGCCGATCTGATTCATCCCCTGCTGCCAGCTGGCGCTGGGAAGTGTCAGTAATACCGGGCGCCGCAAACTCAAAGCGGCACGAGCCAGGAGACGAACGAAAATAAACCCACTCACCACTTCCACCCCAACACACCCCCACAGCGTGCACTGCCACCATGGGAAAGACAGGCAGGCAGGTGAGAAGCCCTGGGCTGGGGACTGCCATCGCATTGGGCTGGCGTTTGCATTAGCCCTCCGGAGATGCCACGTCAGGAGGTGATGTAGCCACTGTCCCTCCTCAGCAGCTGGTGGCCCAGGGCCATCGCTGACAGCCCTGCCTGCAAAATGGGTACTACCAGCTTGGCAAGGCCAGGGGCCAAACCAGGAGCCCCAGTACTATGCGAGCTCTGTTCAAATGTCTGTGAAAGGGTCCTATTGCTCCTTGGAAACCTAAAACACAAATGGGATGAAAGGGGAGGGCTCAGAAATGCCTCCAACAAAAGGGGATGCCATTCCCATCCTGAACTGGCAGCTGTCTATTGCACAGGCCAGGGGAAGCAAAGCCTTGCTGAGGACAGAGGTGCAGATCCCGGAGCATGCCCAGGGACCTTTCTCAGAGCTTGCTCTGCCTCCTGGGACCCATACGTGCACAGAGGAAGCTGGGGAATCAGTGGCAACTCCTGGGGAGTGGGGCAAAACCCCACCAGTGGGTGCAGCATGGGGCACCCTGGGAGATGCTAGGCAGGTGACTGCAGTCCTGAGAGATGCATCTCCATCCCATCAGTCCCCAGTACACGTGAACACCCGTATTTCACAGCCTGAGAAAGCCCTCTGGCACTTTAGGAAGCTGCTGTAGTGTGGGCATTGCAGTCCCGGTCTTGCAGGGTTGAAGTCATCAGCCAGGTAGGTCTCCAGGGGCCAAGAGCTGCCTCCAGCCCTGCAGCCTGGGCTGCTCTTCCCTCCTTCCCAAATGCTTTCCCCCTCCTGCACCCTAGATTAAGTGATGCTGGGGACACCCCCACTGTGTTGCAGTCATCCCCTCCTTCCTGGGTGACACCATGCTCCAGTGGCACAAACCATTGCACCAGCCCATGCTGCTGCCCCAGTGCTGTTCTTACCCCGAGCAGATGCATGGGGCTGGGCTGCTGACATCGCTTTCCCAGGCACCTGCAGGCTCATCATGTCAGGGCACGCGGTGCTGATGCAATGCCTCCATCACTCCAGCCCCCGTACACGGTGCAGCGCCTGGCACGTCCCAGGCTTTCTCCAGCCCCTGCCAGAGCGGATCATATATTGTCAATCCTTCCTTAAAATCGCGGTGGAAGAGTCTCATTAAACAGAACAGAAAAGTCCATGCTGAAGCACTCCCCCACTTCTCTTTTTATAACAACCGTATCTGGTGCTCTGGGATGTACACCATGAACGACTACGATGGAAAAATCCCAAGGTATTTTTATACTCTTAGTCTTTGCTTTATCTGGAGTCGTCTGGCAAATTCTTCCCTCCTGTCTGTGGTCAATATCACAGCCGCTGGTTGCACTGCACTTTGTGCCTTTATTCCTCTTATCAGCTGTGTAGCATGGTCTGGTTTTGAGATCAACATCCACAGACCCATCCTGCCGGCTTGGGCACGGTGACAACATGGAGACATCTTCCCACCTCTTGGGGAGTCAGGGTGGAAACACCCGCAGCAGAGAGGGGACCCCTTTGGCTTTTTGCAGAGCCTCGCAGACCCATGGCATTCAGTTTGCACTCTCCATCCTCTTTGTAACTCCATCCCTCCTCCATCTCATCATCCTCACACGTATTCCTGGGGTTCATGTTGGGGCTCGTAGGGCAGCTCAGTGCCCCGGGGCTGTCTTGCCACAAGAGACGGTGGCCGAGCTCTCACTCCTCGGTGCCGGCAGGGCTGGGTGCTCGGCACTGTACGAGCTCGCTCGAAGGCAGTCACTGTGCGGGAGAGTTTTACCACATTAAAAAGGCAAGTGACATATGGAAGGTGAGGGGAGGAAGCTTGTAATCAACTCTATACCATTTTTATATACACACTTCTGCCTTTTCGTTCAATAATTATAAATAGATCGAGTAAGTGCCAACAGTCCCCATCTGCCCTGCCACTCATGAACCGCTGACCAGTTTCTCTCTCCAAAAGAGGATTTTATTAAATGCCTCTGCCCAGTTTATTTTTTCTGGGGTGGAGTGAGAAGGGGGCATTTTTTCTCCACCCTGTAAATCTCTGGAGCCTGGGGATGGGTAATATAAAAACAAAACAAAATGATTTGAAGTTAAACCATCTCAGTGTGTGACTCAGAGCTATTCATAGCTCCCTGAAGCCAGCTGCAGCAATGGAGCCAGAAGGATTCTGCCCATATTATTATTCCAATTACCATCTGAATTAAAAGTTTGAGCAGTGATCAGCCCACATACTGATGGGAGGGGGAGAGAAGAAAGCAAAGAGAGAAGGAAAGAAAGAGAGGGAGAAAAAAAAGATAAAAATGGGATCCACACAAAGGTCCCCAGGATGACAAAGTCAGAAAGAGGCACGGAAAGGTGACAGCATCACCTCCTGCCTGCTCCCACACCGCCCAGGTCATCCCTGCTCTGGCCACACCATCTGGGCAATGGTCCTGTAAGAGCAGCTGCCCTCTCCCTGGGATCACAGCCAAGGTGGGGTATACCCCACGGCGGAGCTGGTGGGACTGGCACGGGTGTTCACCCACTCTCCTCCAGCTGAAACAGGGCTGGGGGGGACAAGAGGCAAGAGCTGGGGGCAACTAAGCAAGAGTGTAAGGAGAGGATGCTGCTGGGGTGAAGGCTGGGGAGGAGTCCCCGCTTTTTCTTGTTGAGTGAGGGAGGTGGCTGGTATCACAGGGAAAATGAAATGCTCAGAAGGCCCCTGGCCTTCCCTGGGTGATGTTCTTGGCTAAAAAGGAGATGCACTTTTGTGGCAGCCAGGGTGAAGACCATATCCCACCTGCTCCGGAGGAAGCACTGGGGCTGCAGCTGTCCTGCCAAAACCGTGGACTAGGCCCCAAGGGGTTGGTGCAAAACCTACAAGAACTGAAAAACCAAAGGCACTGGGGTGTCCCCAAGGTCCCCATGTCCTGGACAGCTGTGATGCCTCCTCCAGGTTCAGGCGGCCTCCTCCAGCTTCCCAGCATGAGTGACAGCAAAAAGGGCATTGCCCCTAACCCCCACCCCAGGAGCTCCCTTTGCTGAGCATCCTGCCCTGTGGGAACCTCACCGAAATGCTGTCCCCAGCAGTGTCCCTGCACCTCGGTGTCTCTCCAGCAGAGCCCCTTCTGAGCCCCTGCCAGCCTGGCCAGAAAAGCTGCCCATGCAGGGCCTCTCCATGGCTTTTGGCTGTTTGGGATGAGGATTCTTATCGGTGCGCAGGAAAAGGGAGACAAGGGTGGCTCATGTCACCCACCTGCCCGCTGTGGTTGTGCTCCTGACAGGGCAGGGACTGTCTGCTGGTGCCTGTGGAAAGCACCCAGCAAGGCAGGCGCCTGCAAATGGGTTACGAACAATGATAACAGCAACAGCAGCAAAGGTTGAGCAGAACCCAGGGCAAAGCCTGCTCTGCACCGAGCTCCCCACCGAGAGAGGCTGCAGCCGCCGCCAGGGCTGAGCTCCCAGCCTGGCCTGACTGCTCAGCACTAACCCATCAGGGAGAGAGGAGAAAATAAATATTTCCCCCCAAACCCTTGTCACTGCTTTAACAAGGAGCCCAGCAGAGCCACCAGCTTCCTGAGGGGGTCCCAGCTTCTCCTCTCTCAGTCATGCCTGTTAGGCACCAGAAACAGAGCTGAGGGGGCATCCCAGGTAAGCTGCAAAACCGCACTCCCGCAAAGAGCGGATCGACTATTTCACTACAAGGCTGCTGGCTTGTATTGCTGCAGCTTGCTTGGTCTGGTTAAACAAACACACCTGAAAGACGTCAAGCTTAAGTGCTGCCCGAGGTCGGCAGTCCAGAGGACCGCCCCCTTCTCCATCCCCTGCCCCCTGACTCCCCGACGTGGCAGGGGCTGCAGCGCGGATGGGCTCGGGTGCAGGGGGAGAGCAGTGCGAAGCAGGACACGGCAGCTGTGTGTGCATGCTGCTACGCCTGCAGTAGCCCCCTGCCATCCTTACGGGTTGCTGTCGTACCCCTGCTCTTCCAGGCTGCCATGCTCGCTCCCGCTGACACCCTGCCTGCTCACCTGCCTCTCGCCCACTGGCACTCGGTGCTGCCCGCAGCTTCTGCCTGGTCACCTCCACCCAGGCACGAGGCTCTTTCTTGGTGGTAGAAACAACATGGACAGGACAGGAGAGGACTTCTGGGGTTCC